TGTATTGCTTGCACACTGACATCACAGGTTATATATGAATCCTTACTGCAACTCTAAAGGAAATTACATTTACTCTGAACAAGGCATGACTCACTTGAGAAAGAATTTGTGCCTGACTATGCATATAAACTTTCTTGATTCTAAACACTACTACTTCATGATGTAAACCTTCCCCTAAATATACTCCCCTAAACCCAGCCATGTGCATTCATTCTTTTACTATCACAGTTCAGTGGTCTTAATCTCTATGGACAGTGTTGCTCAATTAAGTTAACAGGATAAAATGACTTTTCTGAGGCTGCCACTAAAACACAAGCCTTCTCTCTTCCCTTTCAAGTAGAATACAACCAGGCAGGATATTGGAAATGGTACAGACGCACACTTTGCTGTCTCTTTTACTTCCACTGCAATATTTCTTCTGTCACCAGGTTGCTCGGTGATAAATTTTAAAGACCTAAATATGTCTGTACTCTCCTATCACATCTCCATCCTCCTGCTGCATTAAGATAGGACTGAATCCGCTCTTCAAAGACTGCTTTTTCCTATAACGTCAGATTGTGTTGTTTCAATTTTTGCAAGGTTCACATGGTTTGACCCAAATCTAGATGATTCCTTTTAGCTAAAATAGAACACCTTACCCATCTGATGCACAGCAAATGGTAACCCATCTGACACACAACACATGGTAACCCATCTGACAGCTTCTCAGCTACATTTGTGTTGGTGTCTGTGAGGACACGATTCCTACAAATTGACATTCCACATGCCCACAAGGACGTAACATTCAATCAGAGCCACTGGATGACCTTATATTAACTTTTTGCAAAAGCTCACAAATGGAGTGTTCAGAAACAAAGGTTAAGGATACACTTTCTTCTACAAGAACAGGAAATAAATTATGCTCCTGCCTTCATTTAACAGACACGGTAAATATGAAGGATTTTCCTTTTTCCTCAGAACAATTAAATGTGGCAGAATCCTTAATGCAAGTGGATTCAGTGTATCTTACATTTATGCCTATCTTTCTTCACATATATTTAATTTAGGACTAATAAGAGAGACTTTCAACTTGAAATAACCGCTGAATTCATACTCTTGTTGCCAAATTTGAAGACAAACCCTGGAGGACAAATCAGAATTATTGCCATTCAGTATTCAGCTGTCAGAGTGATAGCTTAGATGCTATTTCATGTTTTCCACAAGTAACAGTTTACTGGCCCCCACACTGCCTGGGTTCATCCTGCTCACCACCACCACCACCACCTCTGCTCAATGTACTGTGAGCTCATGCAGTAGGTATGCCAGAGCAGAACAGGAGTGTCAGGATTGTTAGTGCTGAGTAGCTGATTAGAGTTATTTATTTGTGCTCTTCAGCACAAGTATTTAGACTTTTATTTGAGAGGAAGGATATTTTCTTGTGAGACATGACAAAATGGAGAAGTTTGTAATGTTCCTTTGAAACTAGCTCTTTTGCAACAAAAAACAGCTTTCAGTCAACTTGAAATTCTCTGTATATTTGAATCCCTTTCAATTACCTCACTTAGGTGATGAACGTAGCATATAGTTTTGTCATGAATAATTGTGCCCAGTGTGGTTGTTTCCTTTCTCCAGACTCACCCCTCTCAGGGTGTAGAGCTCAGCAATGAGAGCAGCAGCACTCCAGCTTTCAATCTCTTTGTCATTTGCCATTCAGCAGAGGCCAGTCAGTAGAACAAAGGCCAGTGTGCACTGGCCTCTCTCCGTTCACTGTCTGCCACCAGGCTGTCATCTCCTCTCAGCCTACCATCATCTCTTGTTTTTTGGTGTTTGGAGCACTTCAGATTTTCAATGGAAATATGTCAGTAATAAAAGATTTATTTACTTAATGTAAAAGCTCAAGGAAAACTAGGCTGTGTTTAACCCTCCTTATGTTGATTTCATCTCTCCTAACGGAAAACGTCAGTGATTCACACTGCTCTGAGAGGGCCTCGCTTTTGTGCATGTGAGAGAGGATTTTCTCAGCAAAGTTTAGCAGACTGTGTACTATACAAGAGAAGATGCTACCTAAGTGATGTGATGGGGATCGTCACATCTCCCTCAGTAGCACAGTTAGAGCTGACTACTACCTGTCTCTGTGGTCTTCTGGCACCCAAGAAAACAAACACAGTTTCTGTCTAAGTTGCATTTGTGAAATAGGACATTTGTCCTCTTTTCTACTGTTCCCCAAGAGTTCTCTTACAGGACAAGCAGCTTGTACCTGCATTTTTTTGTAGCTCAGAACTGAGTCTGGTGCAAAAAGAGAGCACCAATATGTACTGGTTGCAGGTTTCCTCACTTTGCTAGCAGCTAGACTCATTCAGTTGGGAGCCCAGCCATCACTGGGGTTAGCTAGTGGATGAGTGATAGAATTACAGGGTTTGTTTTATTAACTGGATCAATGGCTTATGATGAGGGATGATAGCAACAGAATGAAATGTTGCTGTAAAAAAGACTGATTTCTAATATGTTTCTCCAGAATTTCATTCACTCTTGCCGAGGCATTGTGTGTCTTTTTGTTATACAGCACATAATACTGAATTCAGCACACTCAGTCCCTCACTAGCTTGATCCTTGACTACAAAAATGGTGTGAAAATGGACATAACATACTCTGTAATAAAACTGAAATGACATATTTGCATTCATATGTAGCATTACTATGGTAAGTTGCTGACAGTATTATCCAGCTAAACTCGGGCAACTGAACACTAGGACCCTTTTCTTTTTGCACATCTATCATGATGAAATCTATAATGTAATAATCAGGTATGTTAAGGGCTTTAGTTTAAAGCACAAACTTAAACAACAATGGCTAGAAGTCAGACACTTGCTTTGGAAGGAAGGACATGAATACTTGAGTGGTAAAGTTGTGCTGCTCTGCTGCTGTCCCCCAGCCTATGCTTTCAAAAACATTTTGGAGGAAAAAATCCTTGAGTTACAAGGGCAGCACAGGTTTGGTTTGGCAGAGAGTCCTGCACCTCCCTCTAGCCCAGCAAGCCTGCAAGCGTGAGAGGTTTCTAAAAATGGAGAATGACTGACTCATAAAAATGGAAAACAGAAGGAGGCCCATGAATAAAACTGTTCAGCTACCCACCACAGCTTCCTGTAACCACTGAAGAGAGGTGTGTTCGTAGGCAAACACTTTCCAATCTTTAAGCAAATATTTGGCCTGAAGGTTGAGAAAATACTGTTTTATAGAGACATCCATGCCCTGTCAAGCATGCAGTGTACCTACCAGATGTTGCTATAAATCAGATCATATTATGAAACCTATTGTATCGGGCAAACTGGGAACACTTCATCAAAATGGAGGCCAGTATGTCACAAGTTTCGTTTTAAATGGCTTTTCTGTTATATATTGACATACTCGGTCACTTGGACATGGAGGGGACAAGTGATTAAGTAATTGGACAGAGTCAGCCAAGCATACCAAATAGGTTAACGAGGTTCCTTGACCTCTTTTTCTATAACAATGCTTAAATGCATGCTGTCCTAGTGCAGTACAATAATGCATTTGTTTGAAACACTCCCAAAGCCTGTCTGAATTACATTATTATTTCAGGCAGTATTCATTATTAATTGTCATCGATTTTGATTTAGGTAGCCTTTTTCCACTGTTTTACAGCAAAAAATGATCCTTGAAAGATACGCTGCCGATGATGAAAGGCACTGAAGTGATGGTGTAAGGATGTATCCATAGGGCTCACTCCCTGGCTGTGTGATGGAATGAGCACTCAGAAGGTGTATACACAAGCACAGCACACATACATCTGTAGGCTGAAGCACACCTGCACTCCTGGCACCTGATCTGCTTTTCTCAGGTGTGTACCGCCCACAGCATCGAAAGGCACACTTTGTCCAAGCATTCAAGCTCTGTGCTTTCAGGATGCCAATGTGAGTTCACAATAACAAGGGGTGCAAAATGCTGGCACAACTAAGCTGTAGGCAGCAGTGGTGTGGCCTGCTGGGCATGGTCATGGGGCCTGCTCTGCTTCCTTTACCAGAAGCTGCCTTCAGCACTCTTGGGGTATACCACAGGGGCCAGAGTGTGTGCTGTTTCTTTTCATGGAGGGTAAACTTCTTTGAGGGCCATGAGGAGGCTGCCTATCTAAGATGTGCACCTTTCTCCTGAAATGTTTCTTTTTTTAGTGTCTGATCTAGTGGTTGACAGCTCTGCCCACAGCAGGAGGAGGAAGTAGATGATCTTTTCCGGTCTCTTCCAATCCAAGCCATTCTGTGATCCTATGAAGCTTAAGACATTTCATTTTGGACCATCACAGAGGGCTGGATGGACTTGCGTATTTGTACTTGTGTTTCTATTCGCTGTGGGCACCGCTCTGAACTATTTATATACACCGCCACACACTTCTTGCTATTAAAAGAGTGAGGATTTTTGGGAATGAAGCACAGAATCGGAGCAGTTCAGCCTGGACGGGGCTTCTGTAGGTTCCCTGCTTCACACCTCAGCCCAAAGGGTCCCATTTTTACGTCGTGGCTCTGACGGAGGCCATCAGCTCCTGCTGCCAGAACTACTTGGTGAACCCATCGCGCAGGTGAACAGCAGCTCCGCGTCCTGCTTCAGAGTGGCAGCTCTGTGGCATCACCCCCTCCTGCTTTGCTGAACGGAGGGAAAGCTTTCGCTGGCGTCCGCGTTCCAGACCGAGGCGGGGGGATCTCCCGCACTCCTGCGTACAAAGGGGAGGATACGCGCCCTGCCCGGCTTCCCTGGCCGCCCCGCCCCAGCGGGTTGGACCGGGACTCCCGCCCAGCGTCCTCCAGGGAACGCCGACAGAGGCACGGCGCGCGTAGGCCGTCCCGTCCCGCCCGGCGCGCCGGCGGCTGTCGGTTGGGCGGCCCCGGGCGCGCTACCTGCGCGGCGCCGCCACGTGAGCGCCACATCAGCGCCGCTCCGCGCGCTCCGAGCCGGCAGGCGCAGCAACTGCAGGCGGCAGCGGCCGCGCTCCCGCTCGGCGGCCCGGGAAGATGCTGCAGTCGCTGGCGGGCAGCTCCTGCGTGCGGCTCGTAGAGCAGCACCGCTCCGCCTGGTGCTTCGCCCTGCTGGTGCTGGGCTACCTGCTCTACCTGGTATTCGGCGCCGTCGTCTTCTCCTCGGTGGAGCTGCCCTACGAGGACCTGCTGCGGCAGGAGCTGGGCAAGCTGAAGCAGCGCTTCCTGGTGGAGCACGCGTGCCTGTCGGAGCAGCAGCTGGAGCAGTTCCTGCTGCGGGTGCTGGAGGCCAGCAACTACGGCGTCTCGGTGCTCAGCAACGCCTCGGGCAACTGGAACTGGGACTTCACCTCCTCGCTCTTCTTCGCCAGCACCGTGCTCTCCACCACGGGTAAGGCGGCGGCGGGCCCGACACCGCGCGGCGCCGGAGGCCTCACCGAGCGGGGCTCCTCTCGGCGCCCCTCTCGCCGCGGGGAGCGGGGCGGCCTCTCGGGAACCCGCGGGGCCGCGGCCGGGTCGGGGCCTTGCGGCGGGAGGGGAACCGCCGAGCAGGCCGCCCCCGGCCGCGGGCGGAGCGACCGAGGCAGGGCGAGCCCAGGCGTCGTTCGTTTGGCTGTGGAAAAAACAACGGCTGGGTGGGTGCCTGGAAAGAGCGCGTCTTTAATTCGCTGAGCCTCCGTGTCTGAGCGCTCTGCCCTGCCGCACCTGGAAGCTGCGCTGTGCCGGCCGGTGCCGCCGGCACAGCCGGCACCGGGTCATCTGCTGCTCCGCCAGAGATCCGACGTTCTGCCTTTCTGTCAGTCTGAATGTAGCCCTCTGGTTCTGTGGGTCATTGTCGGATTTGGGGCATCTCGCAATGGAGGCAAGAAGAGACTCTGTGAGCCTTGCACAGAGTCGGGGTGCAGAGGCTCTGAGTTCTCATCTCATATCAAGTTACATCTCATTGATGCAACTTTCATCCTACCTGCCCTTGGCTTCAGGAGGGCGTCGGGCTGCCTTGTGACGGTCATAGCAAAGAGGCGCCCGCAAATGGCTGTAGGGCAGAGCAGGGGACATTCGAGCCGCGCCTGATTTCCCAGGAGCTGCAGAATTCTCCTGTGTAAGAAGCGTCTCTGATGAATTAGTGGTGCCTCCCACAAGCATCTGCACTGATGTCCCTGTGCATGCTAAATTATTAAAAATGAAGCTGTATTTTTAAGTCCGCCCTACTAAGCACCGAGAGCAAAAGTATTGACTTTGCTCAGTCCTTAAAGAGGCAGGCAGTGTGCCACGTTTACTCCTCCCCTTCCCCCCAGGAAGGTGCTTTTGGAAATCCAGCCAGATGCCCATCTTACAACTTCTCATTGCTTTTAGAAGCACTTATTATGGACTCAGCCTCTTTTGCATTTCTTTCAGTCTGGACTGAGGGGAAATACCCAGTTGTTAAATGACAGTGTTTTGGTTTGTGGCAGTTTCTTGGTGTGTGGGTTGGTTGTTGTTTTTTTTCTTTTCCCTTTACTGTCTGTTTTGGCTTAATGTTACATAATGCTCACTTGGTTCCAGATAGCAGGTTCATTGGTATTTTGAAAATCTCGAGTCAACATTCCTTTAGCCAAAGTTTTTGTAAGCACTTATTTTTCAAAACAGTTGTCTTTCAGGTATGGGTGTAATGGTCAGCCTCCTTGAGAAGAATGAGTTCAGGCATTTATGCTGGGAAGTTGAACTGTGAAAACCTGAACAATTGAGTTCCTCACTAAAATCAGTAGCAGAAGCTCTTTGATTAAGAAGAGCTTCAAAAATTTACCTAAAAGTTGTCCAGAGTGCTGCCCTTCCAGAGATCCAAGCCTTGGCAGTCAGGTGGTACTATACAAAATATGCCATGTTTTTTCCATTGCTCCAAAATGATCGCTCACACTACTAATGCAAACTTAATCAGCTGATACCAGTAATGGCATTGACTGTTTTGCGGTGTAGCTGATTTTAGCATTGCCTGAATTATTGGAACAAGCATTAACTTTTTTTTTTTTAAGTCACTGAGTATACAGATCAGGTTGTCTGCTTATTACAGAGAGTTTTTATTTGACAGAAAGGTGAAAAGTTTTTTGACAGATGCAATTCTGCTGGTCCCAACTGATGGTACCATGTTTTTAGGCTAGGAGAGGCAATATGAAATTGCAAGGAGCACTTGGAGGATGTTCCTTAGGAATGGATGGAATTTGATGATGGCTGATGGAATTTGCCATTCATCATGTGAACAAATGCACATAAAACGCATAGGGTAAGTTTGATCTCAGCACCCTGAACTCCACTTCTTGTTCCCTCCCTTTCATTTTATGTGCATTGGCTTCATCCTAACTAGAAAAAAAGCCTTGAAAAAGATGATAAAGCCAGTTAAGAATTCTGGAATATTCTTCAATGGATGCCATTTGTAAAATAAAAACAGTAAGGTAATTATTACTTGGAAGAAATTCGTACGGGCTGTGTGTGCAGACTGCCCCAGGACAGCCACAAACTGCAACACATCCCTGCCGTGGGCTGGGGGTGAAGGTTCAGCAGGCTGTAGCAGTGACTGCGTTGAAACCACGTCTGTTTGCTCTTGTATGTAAAAATACAAACTTTATGATAGTTTAAACTTGGTTATCTCTGTCTCCAGTGGAAAACTGAGGCTTCCTTGTGTTGCTCCTGTGTGAAGCACTTGTGGATCATTTAAATACCTATGATAAATTGCAGCTACTCACCAGGGTGGAGATGCTAAACTTTGGGAGGGAACTTCGTTTCTCTTGTAGGAGTAACTAGTTGCTTAGCAACAGCACTCACAGGAAAATGTGGTTTGCTCAAGATGCTGTAGGAGACAAAGCTAGATTGTGCAGCAGTGTGTGGTGGAATGTTCTTTATGCTGGAGCCCCAGTAAGGAAAGTGAAAGAAATGAAGAGGTGAGTCGGAGAAAGATGCCAAGGCGGGGTTACTTTTCAATGTGCTGACTGTTTGGATGTTGATTTAGGATGTGAGGAAACCACATTTTTTTTCCCTCCTTTGCTTGGAGGGATTTGAACACAAATCCCTGGAGAATGGCTGAATGTTAGCTGGCACTGGAGAAACAGCCATAGCTTTTTGCTGTAGCTGTTTGCTGTAGCTGTCTCCTTATAGATTGATCAGGAGGTGGTCCCAAAATCACAGAATGGCCAGAGTTGGAAGGGACCTCAAGGATCATGAATCTCCAACCCTCTCAGAATCAGGCGTGGTGTCCAGTCCCACCTCATAGCTTCAGTAGTCATGCACAGAGTGAAAGAGTCATTCTGTCTGCCTGTGTGTCTGCTCTCCTCTTGGGGTACATTTCCATTTTTACTGACTGCAGAGCAGCTCCAGACTTGCCACTGCCCTATTTCAGTCCACCCCCAGAGTGCTTTCATTTGGGGCACAGGAGAGTTTTAAGGTGAGGTTTGCTTTATGCTCTTCTCAGGACAAAGATTTGAACTAATGGTTTTCTCCTCTCTTGAGGAAAAAGAGAGAAAACAGCTTCATAAGACATACAGTGCTAGTCTGTAAGAGAAAACAAGACAAATAGGATGTAATAAGGTAGAAGGTAGATTGGATGCTTTGTGTCACAATCCCTGTCTTAGAGTGCATGGCAACATTAAACAAAGTCGAAACAACTTCAAATTTAAAACTATTAGATAAGGGGCTTAAGTTGAAGAAAACAAAGCAAAAAACCTCCAACTCATCAGCCTGTCTGAGATTGAGGCAGATAAGTCACTTACATGACTATTTCCAAAATGCCAGTATTTGTAAAAATTAATGACAGCAAACATTTTGAGAAGGAAATATCCTTTTCTTAATGCTTCAGGATGTGAGTTGCTTTTTACTTAACCAGAGGTGATAGTTCCAGCCAATAGCCTGGTGGTGTTACCTCTTGTGTGCCTGAGACAAAGCCCTTGTGTTCTCTATTGACATAGAAGGTAGAAGAGAGGATATCCGGGTCTGTCTTCTCATGCAGGCTTGTAATTGCAGGCGTCTCATGTGACCACAGCCATCGGTTTGTACTTGTTGAAATAAAGGGTGGCAACCCTAGCTCTAATCCAGTGTTTATGCTTTGCAGGCCAATGAGTAGTACAGGCTAAATCCTGGCAGAAACCAGAGAAGCTATGGAATAGCATTACTGCTTTGTTGTTCGGAGCAGTGGTGGCTGGTGATGGATGGAGTGCTGCCCTTACCTGCTCTGTCCTCACTTCTGCATCCTGCTGTGCTGCCTGCCTTGCTCTCATCTCAGTGGTGTGGAGCTACTCCAGCAGCTCTCCACACTGGAAGGACTATTGTTGCTGCCTCTCATCCTTCTGTATTAGGTCTAAGGTCATTTTTTCTCTTCTGGAAGAAAAAAAAGAAAATGAATGAGGCAGTCCATTGAACTTAGTTTGATACACAGTGTAACTGGGGTCAGGACTGAGTTGATGATGTTCTATCCTGGGCTTGTTAATTGACTCCTTTGTAAATGTTAATTTTGTTACTTCTCTATTTCTGATGTGTTAAAATTATTTGCAGTTTCTCACAGATAGATAATGTGGCTTCTGATTTCCCTCTTATTATTTCTAATTATTACTCTGATTGGTTTTATTTTGTCCTCTGATACTTATATCTTGAAAGGAAGAGTAATCTCTTCAAAAATCTGCCTTTTGTTAAAAAGTTTGTAATCCTTTTGCAAAGTTGGAGATTTTATTGTCATTCTGCTGACATCTCTAAATTGAATCCTAAGCTAAAACTTACATACACCTTCAGAACAGGACTTCTAATGTGTATACAGTTAATAACCAAATCCTGCAGTTCCTAGCCATTACTGAATGCTATTTTCACTTCCACATGTATATAACTCAAAACAGCCATTTTCTAAAATCTATAGTTTTTTCAGTCTGTTGGCTGTTTTTTGTTCTCTGTTTCATTTTGATCCACTGCGTCATTTTAATCATCTATACTTTTCCTTATAGAAGAACATCACAGTTCCAGAGAAATTCCTGGTTGAGCCCCTGCTCCATGTTAATTATAAAGTAGGCTACAAGCTGCTAAACCATACAAAGATCACAATGTTTCCTGGCATGTACAGAAATGAAATCTTCTCAATTTGAGAGAGATTGGCATACCTGAGCAATTTCAGGAGTAGAAAGTAGCAATAACTTTTTTTTTCCTAGAGTTAGCTGCCTAAATTCCAGTTGTGTTTCTGGACCTGACGTCAGCTGCTTAATGGCTACAATATTCGTACAGTGTTTAGTTCCAATTCTAGAGTAGTTACTGGCGATGACCCTGTGGTCTGCTGCTTTTCCACCTGAGAACCTAGCAAAAATCTTTTGTAAGATTGCATTTCTCAAAGGACAAAGAGGTAATGTAATTAAAAACTGGAAAAGAAAGAAAGAAATGAAGGAAAGA